AAAAAATTTAACAGCTGCTTTAGTCTCAAAAAAGAAGTTCAAATAGGACCCAGATGAAAGTTTACACGATATGGTATTTTTATTGATGATCGATCGTATTAAAATACCATCACCATAACCTTCACGATCATCAATATCTGGGGGTGAGTCAATAGAATTCAAGCAAATTTTTTATAATAAAAATTTTTTATAACTTTAAACAAGAATAACTTAACCATATTTAATAAAAATTTTTTAAATAGTTTTTATAAATTTGTAGAATTAATTTAAAAGTTTTTTTTACTAAACTTGATTAAGTTTTTGTTTTAAAAAAACTTATTAAAAAATATTTGCTTGGTTTCTATTGACTCAACCCCATCTTTTAGCGATGTCAATTCGTAATAGTAATCGAATACCTCAAGGTAACATTTGATACCATATATTAATCAACCTTTGAGCAAACAAAAATTGGTACTTTTATTTCAAATTTTTTTTTTTTTAATAGTAAATATGCCAAAGGCAAAAATACTACTCCTGATGGATCGGCAGTACCGATCTTATGGAGTTATCAAAAAATTTATTTGAGTACCGTTCCTGATAAGGTTATAAAAACGAACCCTAATCCTAACTTTTTTCATATACTTCGCTATAGTAATATAGTATTTTGGTAGTGTTACAAATCGGCAGAATTTTTTTCAATCGATTAGTTGGTCAATTATTTTTTCAGTTGGTTGCAACTAATCGACTAATCGATGAGTTGCAACTGATCGATTAATCGATGAGTTGCAACTAATTCATTAAGTAAATGAATAATTTTCAATCGATTCTTTGCAACTAATCGATTAATGTTTTAGTCGATTAGTTGCAACTAATCGATTAATTGATTAATCGATTAGTTGTCAACTAACCAATTGATTTTTTCAACTTTCGATTTGTAACACTATATTTTGGTGGCCCCCTTTAGAATCCTATCAGGAACGGTAACCTATAAAGAACAATACCGACGATATATCAGGAACGGTATTTTTGCATAACAAAGATGAAGATAAATTTTGTACAACATGGGATTTCCAAATAAATTTAATGTCAAAATAAACATAACAGATATACTCCATCAACATGTGATGCAGATAAACAAAAATATTTTTAGAAAACAAACAATGCCGTTTAAATAATACACAAATTTTAAATGCCATCCATGAAAAACCAAAACCTATTATTCACTCATATCCCGTGAAAGAATTGAAGTATTTACTCTATAAGAGTTAAGTCTCTTACTCTATTTTTAGCATATTTATCTTTGTAAGTATTCCAAATATTATATAATTCATCAATATATTTCTTTTGTACTTCGAGCAAATCTTCGGTAGTTGGATGTTCGATCTTTTTAACTTCAATAGGTCTTCCGACTATCGAACCATTATAATGAATTTATTATCAATAATAGTAATAGTAAATAAATAAGATAGAATAGGTTGCATTAACTATTAAACCTTACCAACTGTAGTAATAGGCCTTCTATGGGGAAGAACTCCAAAATCATCTATGGAAAGTAAAGGTGAGTTGATTTTAGTCTAAAATGA